CAAGATCCGAGAGGTGCCTTTTTGCCTATTCACCGCCTTTAGGCAAAAAGCTGTCGTGGTTCTCTCAGTTCTGCAATTTTCGGCAGTGTGACGAAAAACTGCAAATGCCTACAAATCACCATCCAATTTATTTAGTTCGTCGCGGTTCCATTGAAGGGACCTGCGGGTGTGGTAGGAATTTACGATGTGGACACACCATGTAAAATTCCTGACGGAGTCATGGACGGAATTTTCAACAAAGCTGTGGTAAGTGAATTTCGAGCTAGTCTAAGATCTTGTAATACCACCTTTTTGTAGGTGACAGATTTACACTGGAATCCTTTTGACGATGAAGAGTTGGCAGTCGGTTTGGACATAGGTTCAATAAACTTTTGGCGGCTCACCACCTCTGACGGACCCAGAAATGAAATGGAACCTGAGAAAGTCATGAACTTGGGAGGCGAAAAGGTAGTTGTTGCGCATAGTTGTGAACGATGATTCAGTTTTTACGTATAGGTGATTTGCTTCCAATGGCATCCTCTTGCTTCTGATTTGATGGCCATCGCTTTGTCAGATTCATCTATTGAGATCTGGGAGTGTAAAACTATGACGAAAAGAGCACGGTACGTGTATCTTTTCCAAAATAGTGAGATTCGAATGTAAAACTGTGTATTGAAGAATAGTATCACATTCCGCTCATGTGTTGGCACTGGCATGGAGTTCTGGTGGTCATCGGCTCGTCTCTATCGGAAAGGATCTCATGTTGAATGTACACCAGCCGCAGCTTGGCAGCGACTGCCTCATAGCTCAGAAGAAGGTGGGTCACTTTTCATAGTGTTTTATCCGCTTTGCGCGGGAATGCGTAAAATCAGCACATTCATAAAGGTGCTTGACCGCGGACATGCGGCTCGCGTCCTCTACGCCTGCGACGATCGACTGATAGTCGTTATAAGTATGACGAGGAGTTCAGGACGACAGGTATGTGGAAAGTTATTTAAAGTCCCGCATAGTAATTAGATAACTTGCATTATTCTAATTTTCTTGTTGTTTTGAGCTTTTGTTTGATGTGTCTCTATGTGTCAGTATCTCTATCAGTGTGTCAAATCTGTCCAAACGTTTTTTTTTCTTGAGAATGCACTATTAGCTGCTGTAGAAAGGGGGGCGTGTGCTTATCTTACAGAAAGTTTATGCGTCGTTGATTTGGACTTCAAATTTCG